CATTTGTGAATGTATATTAGACCCACCAGCTGACATGTATTAAACGTGTGAAGTCGTTTGTTTACTCTTGAACATGGGCAAAAATTTAACATTTCTGCTACTTTGAGCTCAGTTTCAAGACATTTCCAGTGCTAAAATTAATTAAAATCATCTCTATTTCTGTAATATGTCTTCCATTCTATCAAATGAGACCAAGAAATTGCAAATACAACTATAAAAAAACATACGAAAAACACTGCAAAGTCGCTGTTTTAATCGAAAATAACGGTCTCAGTTTTTTTTCTCTCATTAGGCACTGTGTGCTGCAGGATTTGTTTTATGTGGTGCACACATACCACATAGATGTATTCTCTCATATCTAGGCCCAAATTTACCACTCACAGCTTATCAGAGTGAGCTGAGCTCATGGCATAGATCTGTGGTTTGGACCCTCAACGTAAAGCCGTAGATCTACGGCACAGACCCTGAAAGGGTTAATATTGTTTATAATGTCATATTAGATGAATTGTGATTGATAAATAAGCCGTAGAGATGATATTAGCATCATATTAGAGCATAATAACCTCGCCTTCCTCTTGCCTCCTACCTACCTCCTACACCAACAACAATCAATAAAGGTTAAGTGTGATGTTAAATGTTCATTTATCCATTTTGTTAGTGCTTTATATTTATTTGTCATTGTTTTCTGTATGTAAATCTACATTAAATCCTTAAAAAAATTATTTTTTGTTAATACTTTTGGCTGTCTGAAACGGATTAATTGGGTTTCCATTATTTCTTATGTGAAAAATAATTCGCCAATCGTGAATTTCGCCAATTGGCAGACTCTATGGAACGGATTAATTACAAAACTCTGGGGTCCACTGTACAAGAAACCGCCCATTTACTAATTTCAACTACCCAATAAAGTGGTCAGAAATTGGCAATTTGGCCAATTTCACAAATAAAAAAAAGGTGCCAATTTCAAAATAGGGTCCAGAATAAACAATGCAGACATTCTTGGCACTAAAATAACACATCCTCTGTTCATTAGCCACGTCTCTAGGCCCCTCTTATATTACTCTTGCTTTCCACTTCGATTTTTTTTTTCACACAAAAAAGAGAAGATTTACTGGTATGCAGATTACTGCATTATTGTAAAAATGATATAAATAATATTAGTGCACTAGTGAAAGAATATCAGACTCCCCAGTTGACATGTATTGGACATGTGGTGTGATTTGCTTACTCTTGAACACTGGTAAAAATTGAACATTTCCGCTAATTTGAGCTCAATTTCAAAGTCGTTTTCATCGTGATACTAATCAAAATCATCTCTATTTCTGTAATACATTTTCCATTCTATCAAATAAGACCAAGAAAACGAGAATACACCCATAAATTCTATACGAATATACACCTCAAATTCGGCATTTTAATCCAAAAACACGGTTGGAGTTTTTTTTTCTAATTATGCACTGCGTGCTGCAGGATTTTTTTTTATACAGTGCACACTGACCACACAGAACCATTCTCTCACATGTGGACCTACCAGCTTTCTCCTGTTTGATTTGAAGCCGCTAGAATTAGTGAGTATATATACATCCTAAACACTGGCTTGTAAGATGTATATATATTGCCGAAACAGTCAAAGGGTTAATCTCACTCCAAAACTTTTTCTTATTTTCAACAAAATTTGTTGATAACATCTCACCCACTCTCATTTTCTCTCTTTTTACATTGCTTCATCACTCTCTTAACCTCTCTGTTTCTCTCCTTACACTCTTCCCTCCTTGCATCACTTCTACTTTGTAAAAACCTCTCATATGCTAACTTTTTCTCCCTTACTACTCTCTTTACATCATCATTCCACCAATCGCCCTTCTTCACTCCCGCACTCACTTTCCTGTAACCACAAACTTCTGCCGAACACACTAACACTACATTTTTAAACCTACCCCATACATCTTCGACCCCATCTATCCTCCAATAGTAGTTTATATCTTACCCTAACTGTCTCCTCTTTTAGTTTATAAACCTTCACCTCTCTCTTACTTGATGCTTCTATTTTCCTTATATCCCATCTATCTTTTACTCTCACTGTAGCTACAACTAAAAAGTGATCCAATATATCTGTGGCCCCTCTATAAACATGTACATCCTGAAGTCTACTCAACAGTCTTTTATCTACCAATACATAGCCTAACAAAGTACTGTCATTATGCCCTACATCATATCTTGTATACTTATTTATCCTCTTTTTCTTAAAATATGTATGAATTATAACTAAACCCCTTCCTATACAAAGTTCAATCAAAGGGATCCCATTATCATTTACACCTGGCACCCCAAATTTACCTACCACACCCTCTCTAAATGTTTCTCCTACTTTAGCATATAGGTCCCCTACCACAATTACTCACTCACTTGGTTCAAAGGTTCCTATACATTCGCTTAACATCTCTCAAAATCTCTCTCTCTCCTCTAACACTCCTCTCTTCTCTTGGTGCATACACGCTTATTATGACCCACTTTTCACATACAACCCTTATTTAAATCCACATAATCCTTGAGTTTATACATTTATATTCCCTCTTCTCCCTCCATAATTGATCCTCACTTACCAACATACTCATTTACCAACAACTCAGAGTTACAATGGGCTCTCTGATGAATTGTTGTTGTATACCGTACAAGAACATGGGTCATGAAAGGGAAAGGCAGCCCCTCACCAGCGTCAAGGCACCTTGAAACCAGTGAGGGGCTCTTGATCTAAGGAATTGGATCTGTACTCCAGTTCATTAAATTAATAACAATAATAATAATAATTTAGGTAGTAGGTTGGTAGACAGCAACCACCCAGGGAGGTACTACCGTCCTGCCAAGTGAGTGTAAAACGAAAGCCTGTAATTGTTTTACATGATGGTAGGATTGCTGGTGTCCATTTTTCTGTCTCACAAACACGCAAGGTTTCAGGCACGTCTTGCTACTTCTACTTACACTTAGGTCACACTACACACACATGTACAAGCATATATATACACACCTCTCTGGGTTTTCTTCTATTTTCTTACTAGTTCTTGTTCTTGTTTATTTCCTCTTACCTCCATGGGGAAGTGGAACAGAATTCTTCCTCCGTAAGCCATGCGTGTTGTAAGAGGCGACTGAAATGCCAGGAGCAAGGGGCTAGTAACCCCTTCTCCTGTATATATTACTAAATGTAAAAGGAGAAGCTTTTGTTTTTCCTTTCGGGCCACCCCGCCTCGGTGGGATACGGCCGGTGTGTTGAAAGACAGAAAGAAATAATAATAATAATTTAGGTAGTAGGTTGGTAGACAGCAACCACCCAGGGAGGTACTACCGTCCTGCCAAGTGAGTGTAAAACGAAAGCCTGTAATTGTTTTACATGATGGTAGGATTACTGGTGTCTTTTTTTTTTTTTTTTTTTTTTTTTTTTTTTTTTTTTTTTTTATCACACCGGCCGATTCCCACCAAGGCAGGGTGGCCCGAAAAAGAAAAACTTTCACCATCATTCACTCCATCACTGTCTTGCCAGAAGGGTGCTTTACACTACAGTTTTTAAACTGCAACATTAACACCCCTCCTTCAGAGTGCAGGCACTGTACTTCCCATCTCCAGGACTCAAGTCCGGCCTGCCGGTTTCCCTGAATCCCTTCATAAATGTTACTTTGCTCACACTCCAACAGCACGTCAAGTATTAAAAACCATTTGTCTCCATTCACTCCTATCAAACACGCTCACGCATGCCTGCTGGAAGTCTTTTGTCTGTCTCATAAATATGCAAGATTACAGGTACGTCTTGCTACTTCTACTTACACTTAGGTCACACTACACATACGTGTACAAGCATATATATACACACCCCTCTGGGTTTTCTTCTATTTTCTTTCTAATTCTTGTTCTTGTTTATTTCCTCTTATCTCCATGGGGAAGTGGAACAGCATTCTTCCTCTGTAAGCCATGCATGTTGTAAGAGGCTACTAAATTGCCGGGAGCAAGGGGCTAGTAACCCCTTCTCCTGTATATATTACTAAATTTAAAAGGAGAAACTTTCGTTTTTTCTTTTGGGCCACCCCACCTCAGTGGGATGCAGCTGGTACGTTGAAAGAAGAAAGAATAATAATAATAATAATAATAATAATAATAATAATAATAATAATAATAATAATAATAATAATAATAATAATAATAATAATAATAATGAGAGATTCAGGATGCCGCCCACTCAGTGCACTGTTTACCTCACTGTGGAAGTATTTTTGTCATGCTCTGCTTACATTTTTACAGTTATTTTGCCAAATTTCTTTTTTCTAAACATGGGTCCTAAGAAGTTAAGTGCAAAGGACAGTGCTAAGAAGGAAAACAGGATGATGTCCATGGAATTACAGCATGAAATCATAGATAAACAAGTAAGGTGTGCAGTTGTGGGTTGAGGGGAAAGTGAGGGAAGCTCACTTGTAACTCGGATGTTGGCTCATAACTCAGAGCAAAAAAATCTGACAGAGTGACGGATCATATCCTGAAAAACTCGTATGTCGGGACACTCGTAAGTCAAGGTTCCACTGTACTGACTCTCTTCCCTCCATGCGTCTATGTGACCAGTTAGTGGTCCAATTCAGAACTAAATGTCATCATAAGTTACTTTCTCATATGAGTGCATTATTTGTATATTGTTCCAGTCCCAATATTATGCATTTTTATTCTTCACCACAATGAAAATGGATAGGTCCTGGACAAAGCCTGAACCATACAAACTTGTGATTATGCAGAGCTGGTCAAATTTATTGAGCATATGACCAGGCCAGACAGATGCTGATACTGCAGATATGGTCCATTTGTGGGCTATTTAATTGGACATCCCATTAAACTTTTACTGTATAATTATCATCATCATTTTAACTTAAAGTGTTGAACTCATAAAAATTCTTACTAGACCAGAAAAAGATTAAAAAAACTAATAATAAATACAAACATTTACCATTAATGCCACATTTACTTACCTATCAACATTGAGACAATTTAAGAGGGTCTCCTTGACAGCAGTAAAATATTCAGTTTTATTAGCAGCATACACAAGAACATTGGGAGGCTTCTCTGTGGCACTGTCAAGATTCTTCCTGCAAGGTCCCTCCTCCTCCACCCTCATGAGCGGTGCTCCTGGCGTAGCCTCGCTTGACGGAGACCCACCTGCCATTATCATCATTCTAAATATGTTAATCATATGAATATAAGATCAGCGATGTCCTGCTACTTCATTAGTCATTACCAAATCCACCAACAAAATTCTCTGGAAATATATGAAGTCCAAAGCCACTATTTAACAAGTGCCAACACTTGTCAACTGATTATATGAATAAGGGAAATTCTTATATAAGAAAACCAATAAGATGGAATGCCACATTAATTGTATCGAAGAGTATTCTAATGCTAGTCAAAGATCATTCTAATGTTGGACAAAGATCATTCTAATATTGGAGAAAGATCATTCTAATGTTTGTCAAAAACAAGGAGCATTCTAATGCTGGTCAAAAAACATTCTAAAACTTGTCAAAGAGCATTCTAATGTTGATCAAAGAGCATTCTAATGTTGATCAAAGAGCATTCTAATGTTGATCAAAGAGCATTCTAATGTTAATCAAAGAACATTCTAATGTTGATCAAAGAGCATTCAAATGTTGATCTAAAAACACTCTAATATTGGTCAGAGAGTATTCCTATGCTAAGGAAAGAGAATTCTAATGTTGATCAAATAATGCTAAATGTTAGCACAATATACTAGTACATTATAGTACAGTACAGAACATTACAGTACAGTATAGCACATTATAGTACAGTACACTACAGCTCAGTACATTATACTACAATACACTATGGTATACTATACAAATATAGTATATTATAGTGCACTACAGTACAATACAGTGCAACACAGTATAGTACAATATTGTACAGCACAGAATACATTATAGTACAGAACACAATACATTATAGTGAAGTACATTATATTACATCACAGCACAGTGCACTACAAAACATTAGAATACAGTATGGCACACTACAGTACACTGTGGAACAATATGGACAAGTACATTATAAGTACAGTACAGTAAGGTACACTATATTATAGTACAGTATACTACAGCACAGTAAGGTACAGTACAGTAAGGCACAGTACAGTATGGTACAGTACAGTAAGGTACAGTACAGTATGGTACAGTAAGGTACAGTACAGTATGGTACAGTACAGTATGGTACAGTACAGTAAGGTAAAGTACAGTAAGGAACAGTACAGTAAGGTACAGTACAGTATGGTAGAGTACAGTAAGGAACAGTACAGTATGGTACAGTACAGTAAGATACAGTACAGTATGGTACAGTACTAGGGTACAGTACAGTATGGTGGTACGAAAGGGAACAGTACAGTATGGTACAGTACAGTAAGATACAGTACAGTATGGTACAGTACAGTAAGATACAGTACAGTATGGTACAGTACAGTATGGTACAGTACAGTAACAGTAGAGTATGCTACAGTACAGTAAGGTACAGTACAGTATGGTACAGTACCATAGGGTACAGTACATTATGGTACAGTACAGTAAGGAACAGTACAGTAAGGTACAGTACAGTAAGGTACAGTACAGTAAGGTACAGTACAGTATGGTACAGTAGAGTAAGGTAGTCAGTATGGTACAGTACTAACAGCTACAGTATGGTACAGTACAGTAAGGAAAGTACAGTAAGGTACAGTCAGTAAGATACAGTAAAAGTATGGTACAGTAAAAGTTAATAGGTTTCAGTACAGTAAGGATTACAGTACAGTAAGGTACAGTACAGTATGGTACAGTACAGTAAGGTACAGTACAGTATGGTACAGTACAGTATGGTAACAGTACAGTATGGTACAGTACAGTAAGGAACAGTACAGTAAGGTACAGTACAGTAAGGTACAGTACAGTATGGTACAGTAGAGTAAGGTACAGTACAGTATGGTACAGTACAGTAACAGTACAGTATGGTACAGTACAGTAACAGTACAGTATGGTACAGTACAGTAAGGAACAGTACAGTAAGGTACAGTACAGTAAGGTACAGTACAGTATGGTACAGTAAGGTACAGTACAGTATGGTACAGTACAGTAAGGAACAGTACAGTAACGTAGAGTACAGTATGGTACAGTACAGTAAGGAGCAGTACAGTAAGGAACAGTATGGTAAAGTACAGTAAGAAACAGTAAAGGCACAGTACAGTAAGGTACAGTACAGTAAGGAACAGTACAGTATGGTACAGTACAGTAAGGAACAGTACAGAATGGTACAGTACAGTAAGGAACAGTACAGTATGGTACAGTACAGTAAGGTACAATACAGTATGGTACAGTACAGTAAGGTACAGTACAGTATGGTACAGTATAGTAAGGAACAGTACAGTATCGTAGAGTACAGTAAGGTACAGTACAGTATGGTACAGTACAGTAAGGTACAGTACAGTATGGTACAGTACAGTAAGGTACAGTACAGTATGGTACAGTACAGTAAGGAACAGTACAGTATGGTACAGTACAGTAAAGTCAGTAGGATACAGTAGTACAGTACAGTAAGGTACAGTACAGTATGGTACAGTACAGTAAGGTACAGTACAGTATGGTACAGTACAGTAAGGAACAGTAAAGGCACAGTACAGTAAGGTACAGTATGGTACAGTACAGTAAGGAACAGTACAGTATGGTACAGTACAGTAAAGTACAGTATGGTACAATACAGTATGGTACAGTACAGTATGGTACAGTACAGTATGGTACAGTACAGTACAGTATGGTACAGTACAGTAAGGTACAGTACAGTATGGTACAGTACAGTATGGTACAGTACAGTATGGTACAGTACAGTATGGTACAGTACAGTAAGGTACAGTACAGTATGGTACAGTACAGTAAGGTACAGTACAGTATGGTACAGTAAGGTACAGTACAGTATGGTACAGTACAGTAAGGTACAGTACAGTATGGTACAGTACAGTAAGGTACAGTACAGTATGGTACAGTACAGTAAGGGACAGTACAGTATGGTACAGTACAGTAAGGTACAGTACAGTATGGTACAGTACAGTAAGGTACAGTACAGTATGGTACAGTACAGTAAGGTACAGTACAGTATGGTACAGTACAGTAAGGTACAGTACAGTAAGGTACAGTACAGTGGTACAGTACAGTATGGTACAGTACAGTATGGTACAGTACAGTAAGTAAGTACAGTACAGTAAGGTACAGTACAGTATGGTACAGTACAGTAAGGTACAGTACAGTAAGGTACAGTACAGTAAGGTACAGTACAGTAAGGTACAGTACAGTAAGGTACAGTACAGTAAGGTACAGTACAGTAAGGTGCAGTACAGTATGGTACAGTACAGTAAGGTGCAGTACAGTATGGTACAGTACAGTAAGGAACAGTAAGGTACAGTACAGTAAGGTACAGTACAGTAAGGAACAGTAAGGTACATTAGAGTAAGGTACAGTATGTAGTACGTAAGGTACATTACATACAGTAAGGTACAGTAGTAAGGTACAGTACAGTTACAGTAGGTACAGTACAGTAAGGTACAGTACAGGTACAAGTACAGTAAGGCGTACAGTACAGTAGTAGGTACATTACATAACAGTAAGGTACAGTAAGTAAGTACATATGGTACAGTAAGGTAAGTAGTACAGTATGGTACAGTAAGGTACAGTACAGTATTGGTACAGTACAGGTACAGTTACAGTATGGTACATGTACAGTAAGGTACAGTTACAGTAAGGTACAGTACAGTAATGGTACAGTACAGTAAGGTACAGTACAGTATGGTACATACAGTAAGGTACAGTAAGGTACTTAGGTAAGGTACAGTACATGGTACAGTAAGGTACAGTATGGTAAGGTACAGTGCAGTAAGGTACATTACAGTAAGGTACAGTACAGTAAGGTACATTAGAGTAAGGTACAGTACAGTAAGGTACATTACAGTAAGGTACAGTACAGTAAGGTACAGTACAGTAAGTACATTGAGTAGTACATGTAGAGTAAGAGTACATACAGTAGAGTACTATGGTACAGTAAGTAATTACGTAGGTACAGTACAGTAAGGCACAGTACAGAAAGGTACAGTACAGTAAGGTACAGTACAGTAAGGTACAGTAAGGTACAGTACAGTAAGGAACAGTACAGTAAGGTACAGTACAGTAAGGTACAGTATGGTATGGTACAGTACAGTATGGTACAGTACAGTAAGGTACAGTACAGTAGTGCGTCAGTAGCACAGTACAGTAAGGCACAGTACAGTAAGGTACAGTACAGTAAGGTACAGTACAGTATGGTACAGTATAGTATGGGAGAGTACAGTAAGGTAAAGTACAGTAAGGTAGAGTACAGTAAGGTACAGTACAGTAAGGTACAGTACAGTAAGGTACAGTACAGTAAGGTACAGTACAGTAAGGTACAGTACAGTATGGTACAGTACAGTAAGGTACAGTACAGTAAGGTACAGTACAGTATGGTACAGTATAGTATGGGAGAGTACAGTAAGGTACAGTACAGTATGGTACAGTACAGTAGGTACAGTACAGTAAGGTACAGTACAGAGTACAGGGTACAGTACAGTCAGGTACAGTACAGTAGGTACAGTACAGTATGGTACTTAGTAAGTAATGTAGAGTTACAGTAAGGTACAGTACAGTATGGTACAGTAAGTAGTAAGTAGTACAGTAAGGTACAGTACAGTAAGGTACAGTACAGTATGGTACGTAGTACAGTAAGGTAACAGTACAGTATGGTACAGTACAGTATAAGGATACAGTACAGTATGGTACAGTACAGTAAGGTACAGCTATGGTAGACGTACAGTAAGGACAGTACAGTATGGTACAGTACAGTAAGTACAGTATCAGTATGAGTACAGTACAGTAAGATACAGTACAGTATGGTACTAGGTACAGTAGTTGGTACAGTACAGTAAAGGAACTACGTACGTAAGGTACAGTACAGTATGGTAACAGTAAATAGGGTACAGTACAGTTATGGTACAGTACAGTAAGGAACAGTACAGTAAGGTACAGTACAGTAAGGTACAGTACAGTAAGGTACAGTACAGTATGGTACAGTACAGTAAGGTACAGTACAGTATGGTACAGTACAGTAACAGTACAGTATGGTACAGTACAGTAAGGAA